TCGGAGGGCAACAATCATAGCAGGATGGTTTTCACAGTTTCCATCATCTTTACCTTTAACTCGATTTAGAGGGCCCGTAACTTGGTGAGACTTAATGATACCTCTACTTCTTTTTCTTCTGTTTTCTCTTTTATTACGGGTGATGTTTCTATTGCAGTCAATGCTTCTACTGTTGGCTCTCACCTTTCTTCGCATGATTTTGAGATTCTTAGAAGATTTAAGGTTACAATTCGGTCGCCCCGTGCTCTGAACATTTTGGAGGTTTTGTGGAAACCCCCCTTGTGGAATTGTGTTGAGTTGAATTGTGACAGTGCATCCATATCTTCGTCGGGTATTTCTGCTTGTGGTGGCATTGATAGAAATAATGATGGCTCTCTTTTGGGTGCTTTTGCGTCCCATTTAGGTATTGTGGATTCTCTCATTATCAAACTCTTGGGTGCTATGTTAGCAATTGAGTTCGCTAATGAGAAGAATTGGAGTAATAGTTGGTTGGGATCAGACTCGGCAGCAGTGGTTAGAGCTTTCAGTCCCCCTTTTTGTGTGCCTTGGGTGATTAGGAATAGATGACTAAATTGTATTAATTTATATTCTAATTGGAATTTTGTTGTTTCGCATATTTATAAAGAAGGGAATAGTTGTGCAGATACCCTTGTTAACTTAGGTCTCACCTTGTCCGATACTACTTTCTTTTCGTCTATACCTCTGTGTATTATGACTAATTTTTTAAAGAATAGGCTTGGTTTTCCTTTTATTAGATTTACTTAACCTTTTGAGAGTTTTGGTATAGGCCCCCTCTCTATTTTTTGTACTCCATCTTTTATTTATATATTTTAACCTTATTTTAAAGAAGAAGAAAAAACTCTTCTTGTTATTTTTAACTATCGTGTAAAGTATACATAATTATAATCTTAAAAATCTTACAACCAATACTAAATTAAGTGTTGAAGTACTTGCATAACTCTTCTCTGAGGCCAACAACATGAGTCCTACAAGTACCATTATTCTCAACAGGTTTGCCATTACCATTGCGAACATGATTTCTTTATTAGAATAATTGTTTTAACGAATTTTAAAAAGCAAGTAAAGAAGAACATGAATACTTATTAAATAAAAGGTGAAATAAAACAAAATAACCAAACATTATTCCATTAAATGGAGTAAACTATATTGAATAAATACGCCATTATATTTTATCAAAGAGTAGTGAAGTAAAGACGTAGAGCAAAATCGATGGAAAATAACATAGAGTTAAATTGATCAAGGAAGTAAAAGCATACTTCAAATTATAAAGAATAAACTATCGATCTAGATAAATGTGATTTATGAAAAGTCAAGCAACATTTGATACATAGTTTTAACAATTTTTAATTAATTTTTTACAAATTTCCTATTGGCTCACACATGTGACTTGTAACCTAAACACAGTAAAATAAATATTTTGATATTGAATTCTATCACTTGTCAATATTTTCTTTGACATACATTTTTCTTGTGTAACTCATTTGTCAGTTAAACACAATTGATTCCGTTCCTTAATTTTTCAACATTCGTTTGTGTTAAAACCGAACTAATTTAAACAATAATAACCTCAATTTATTATTTTAATTGATAACAGGATGTAAGAGGATAATTGTATCCTATAATATGTGTTACATGTGTAGAAAGCCAATTAGAATAGAATAAAGAAGTTATACTCTAGAATAACACATAGAAGTTAAGTCTAGACTTTCTCTACAACACTAATATTTCCACCGGAAAGAATGAGATCAACATATTTTGATGCTATGATCATCAGAAGTAGCGAGCTCATTATTGTCTAGTGAAACATCGTTTGTCCTTAACACGATGTGCAAATAAAGAACGATCATCATACACTATCTTTGTGGGATAGTGTATTAGGATAAACTTTTTGTACAAACTCTCTCTTTTATTTCTTTACCTTCAACATTTATTTTAAACATTTTTGTTTTAAGCATTTAAATTACTTATTGAAATTACTCATGTGCACAAAATTAAAATTAACATTGATTATAATAAAAAGGGATAATACCTATTTTTTCCGGTCATGTAGGGCGAATCTGGAAAAGGTTCATGTGAAAAAATACATAGATTACATTCTTGTTATTTTAAGATTTCTCTATTTTGCCCTCTTAGTAAATTTAATCAACAGAATTTGTGACATCATCCTTGCAAGGGCCGCTTCATTCTATTCAACTGCTTGCTTTTGTTGTTATATATATATATATATATATATATATATATATATATATATATATATATATATATATATATATATATATATATATATATATATATATATATATATATATATATATATATATATATATATATATATATATATATATATATATATATATATATATATATATATATATATATATATATATATATATATATATGTGTGTGTGTGGGGGGGGGGGGGAGGGGGGAGGGTGTGTGTGTGTGTGTGTGTGTGTGTATGTGACATCATCCTTGCAAGGGTCGCTCCATTCCACTGAAGTGCTTGCTTTTGTTGTTATTATATATATTTATTTGAATAAACTGAAGTTAAATATATTAAACTGAAATTAATTTTAATATTTATTGATAAACTAAATTTTTCTTTTTTTTTTAATCAAGAAATTTGACATTAACTCAAAAAAACAGTACAAAATAAGGCGATCAGAGGATCCAGCCAACAAACAAACAAAACTAATTTAAGGTAAAATCAACCTAGCTACATGTGGTCTAAGCTTAGGACTAGTCCACCCTCTATACATTATGTTGTTTATAATTCTATCTAGGCACTTCCTTTTATCAGTTCTTTGATTAAAACAGGATTCATTTTTAGAAAGCCAGATCTCGTGAAGAGTTTCTGTAAGGGCAAGCCTAAACAGATCAGATTTCCAGCCTTTCCCACCATAATTTCTTAGAACCCATTGCATTTCCTCTTTCCATCTTTTTGGACTGTGTTGAATACCCATCCATTGAAGAATACCAATCCAGATTTGCTTCAATTCCAAACAAAAAAAAAGTGATCAATGGTTTCCTCTTCATTGCAAAAAACACACTTGTTATTATTGAGCATTCCAAATCTGAAAAGTCTAGACTTGGTAGCTAACTTGTCATGGCAGATCATCCAAAGAGTAATAATTGCACGGGGTCTAGCTCTATTGTGAAGAATTAATTTGGCCCATGCAACATTAGGAGTAATAGGTAGAAGGCTTTGATACACTTTTCTCCCATGGAATTTACCTGTCTGCAGCATATCATTCCATGTACTTTGTATAGTCACTAGATTGTCCCTTTGTATTATAATTGCTTTGAAAATTCCAGAGTCCGATCCCTTAACAATTCTAGCCAGAATACCTTCATGTCTTAAGTAATAAGCATGTATCCAACGAACCCATAAATCATCAGATTTTGCATAGATATTCCAGAGAAGTTTTATCATAAGCATACTATTCCAAATTTCCAAATTCATCACATTTAGTCCGCCTTTCACATGTGGTTTACAAACATTATCCCATGCTACTGGACTTTTCCTACTGATAATATTACCACCTGTCTAGAGAAAAGACCGACAGATTGCATTGATCTTGTTGATCACAGTTTTTGGAAACCAAATACATTGCATCCGATAGGTTGTGATGGCATAGAGCACACTCTTGATGAGTTGCAGCCTACCTGCATAACTCAGCAATCTAGAACTCCAGTGAGTTATCCTACTTAATAACCTGTCCAATAACGGCATGTAATGGATAACAGCAAGACGCTTACTAGTCACCCGAATACCAAGGTATCTAAAGGGGAAAGACCATTCTTTGTAGGAGGTTAGCTGGAGGATGGCACATTTGACATTTTCGGAAACATTACCAAAATACACCCTACTCTTAGAAGGGTTTATTTTCAAACCTGTAGAATCCAGAAACTTGTTCAAAGTTAATTGTAGAATATCCATGGATACATGATCGCCTCTAGAGAACAGCAAGAGGTCATCAGCAAAGGTTAAGTGGGTGATTTGCAGCCTTTCACATTTAACATGGTGGTTGAAATCAGGATTCTTTTGCATTCTGAAAAGTAATCTGCTGAGATATTCCATAATTATTACAAATAGGAGAGGGGATAAGGGGTCCCCTTGCCTAATACCTCTTCTAGCATTGATCTTATCAATATACTTGCCATTGATATTAAATCTATAAGAAACTGTAGTCACAGTGGTCATAATCCAATCAACAAATTTCTTAGGTAATCCTACTTCACTAAGAATATTTTCAAGAGCACCCCAATCAAACATGTCATAAGCTTTTTGGAGATCTAATTGTACCATGCATCTAGGAGTACCAGTATTCCTATTATAACCTTTTAAAAGTTCATAGCTAGTAAGATGTGAGAATGGATTTTCTGACCTGGAACAAAGGCTGCCTGCGCTTTACTGATGATGTTTCCCAACACCTTCCCAAGTCTGGTTGTGAGGATCTTGGATATGATTTTGTAGATTGTTGAGCATCCAACAATTGGCCTGTAATCTTTCAAGGTTTTGGCGTCCGGCTGTTTAGGAATAAGAGTAACAATTGTTTCATTGAAAGCTTTATAAATCACATTCTGCTCAAAGAATTCTGTAACAGCTTCAATAACATCTTTATCAACAATGTCCCAGCTGGCTTTGAAAATTTTCCTCCGTAACCATCTATACCTGGGCTCTTAAGGTCACTTATCCCTTTGAAGGCATTAGTGATTTCAGTAACAGACACTGGTGAAATTAGATCAGCTCTTTGTTCCATGGACAGTTGAGGCCCCTCCCTCATGACATCAATATCAATCATATTTATTCTAGGTTCCCTTGTGCCCATCAATTTTCCATAAAACTCACACACCTCTTTTTCTATGTCTTCCTGGTTGTGAATACATGTACCATCATCTTTATAGAGTTGGCTAATATTTGTGGTTGTAGTCCTGGATTTGAGGTAAGCATAGAAGAAAGATGAATTCATATCGCCTTATCTAAGCCAATTAATCTTTATCCTCTGTCTCAGCATTTGGTCCTGAAGTTCTTGCAGATGGTTCAATTCATCAGTACAGGTTTTAACTTTCTCAGTGATCTCAGTATTCATTATGTCCATTATGAGACTTTCCTGGGTTTGTAATAAATCATTCCTTGCTTGAACAATGGTCTGCTGGAGGTTTGAAAACTGTTTGCTCAGTCTACTTAGGGGAGCTTGCAATCTCATCAGTTTATACCACAGTCTAGCCATGGGTCTGCCAATAATCTCTTTGTTCCAGTTCTGTTTGACAGTGTCATGATAATCTGCTATCTTCACCACACTATTTGTAAATTTGAATTTTTTGTGTACTGCTCTGTTAATCTTCTCAGCATTCAAGCCTAAAAGGCAGTGATCAGAGATACTAGGAGGGAGAATCTCCAGCTTCAAATCAATATTATCCTGCAGGCAGTCTATATTACCAAGAACATGGTAAATTTTTGAATAAATGGTACCTATAGAGTGTTTATTTGTCCAGGTAAATTAGTCTCCTGTGCTATCCTTCTCAAACAAGCCAGCATGATCCATCAAGCTTTTGAGATCTTCAAACTCTCTTTCAGTCACTAGGTTCCCACCTATTCTGTCCATAGATTTAGTTACATTGTTGAAATCACCCATAAGGAACCAAGGGCCTTGTTGGCTGTCATGAATTTGTTTCAAGTCTTCCTACAGTTTCCTTCTTTGCTCAAGTTGGTTCAGCGCATAGATAGTTGTCATCCAGGTTTGGAATACTCCATTTACATCATGGATACCACAGTGTATCATCTGTGATGTGCATTTTATCACTCTGACATCACATTGTCTCTCATCCAAGTAGATCCAAATTTTGCCATTGTAATGTTCTTTGTAATTGTCAAGATATTGGCCTTTGAGGTTAAGCTGATCTCTGATTTTTCTCGCCTTGTCATGGATAAATCTTGTCTCTAGTAAGATTGCAATCTTAGGGTGAAGATTAAAGAGACGGGAGCTAATCTCCTTTAACTTCCCCAATTTATTCAGCCCCCTCACGTTCCAAGATGTAATCATTGGCCAGTATTTTGAGACTCTATAAGATCCTTCAAAATCTCAAGAGCCTTAAATCCATTATCACAAACAATCTTGTTTACACTGTTGGGGTTAACTTTTTGTTTGCCTTTATCCTTACCACTTATTATAACTTCTATCCATTTTTCCATAACTGCCTCAACCTGCTCAATTAGGTTAACTTCATTTTTTGGAGGTGGATCAGCAGCCTTACTAACCAGGTCAGTGGAAATCTCAGCTAAGGTATTACCCTTAACAGTGTTAATCACAACAGGGGAACTAGCAATATCAGTAATAACCTTGTTACCTGCAGTGTTGTTGTTTCCTACACTCCTAGGAATCCTTTCAACAGTGTTGTCCATCACAGTTTTTACATTACCTGTATGTTGTGGTGCAGGTTTAGGTTTCCATTGTTGTGTCACTTTAGGTTTGTCACAACTATGGCCAACCTTTTGACAATTACTGCAGAACAGGGGTCTCCATTCATACTCAATAGCTTGTTGGATCTTTTCTCCTTCATTATCACCAATGGTAATTGTTTGTGGAAGTTCTTTTGTAATATCCATTTCCACAAGTATTCGCGCATAGGATACTCGGAGTCTGTTTGCCGTACATTCATCTGTCATGATGGGGTTTCCAAGAGCGCTTCTTATCTTGTTTAAACTTGTATCACCCCACAGAATGATGGGTAGTTGAGGCAGTTTCACCCAAATAGGTAGAGTTCGCAGAAGTTCATCTTTGACCTTGAAACCTGGCCTCCATTCATGAATCAGCAGAGGGATGTTTCTTATCATGTATGGTCCTCTCAGCAAAACTTCATCTCGGTCCTTGAATGACTTGAATCGAAGGATAAAATAACTTTCATCATTGTAATACATATCCGGCAATTGAACAAAGTTCCAATTCTTGGTCATGAAATTCTTAACCGCATTCATGCTTAGGTCAACTCCCATTGCGTAAAGAATCAAAGAGAATTCCCAAAATTTGACTTCAGAGATAATATCGTCTTCTTCAATTACAACTTCAAGTTTCCCATTCACGACTTGGGGTGCGATGAATTTCATCGCTCTTAAATTGAAAGTAAAAATATATTTTTTTTAATATCAAATTGAAAGAAAATAGTAAACTGAAAGTAATTTTATTAATAAATTGATTTTTTAATAACAATTTTATTTTATTAAATATTTTTAGATAATTATGTATTAAAATAGTAATAAATATTTATGTATATTATGTATTAAATAATTATGTTTCCATAAATTATGTAATAAATATTAATCAAATATGAAATAACACATGGAAGGGAACGCCCCTTATAATAAATTATGCAAGCAATTAAATAACAAAAGCAAGTAGTCTAGTGGAAGGGAACGCCCCTTATAAGGATTATGTCTTAGGTTCAATATTTGTCGAGGTCAAATTTGACAATCACGTCAACAATAAAAAAATATAAAAAAACAAAAAAAAAACACATGGAAGCGTCACGTCACGTCATGAGTCAAAATAGGGATATTGAAATGACAAGGAATGGATCTTTGTTTTTTTACATAGACTTTTTCCAGATTCGCGCCACATGATAGGGAGAAAATGGGTATTAATCCTAATAAAATTTGTACTTACGCGTTCCATAAATGTAGTATCTTTATATCCAGCCACTCTTTTCCAAACAAAAAATTCTTTTATCTCTTTAAGATCAATATAGAAAACCTCTAAATTTGGATCATGCTCATTTTGGTTATAGTTATGGGTGGCTGAACACTTGCCTTTTATTCATGCACCACCTAAAATAACTTTTTATAGCAATTCATTATCTTCATTTGTACTCGGTTGGACAGTTACACCCATCAGTATCAATTTTTGCATCATAAAAAAACAACAACGCACAAGACATATATCATGTTATAACACCACAAAATAGATGCAACACACAAAACACAATTTTCACATACCTCTAGGGGTGTTCATTGGTTCGGGCAAATCTGAATCAAATCAGGATCCAAACCAAACCATGGTGTTTGGGTCAAACAACTTTTTAGTTCGAGCAAAAATCGAACAAAACCAATAAAATTCGATGTTAATTGGTTTGGGCAACAGATTTCCAAAATTCTATCTGCGAGCCCGTATACCTAAATCAACCATATTAATTCATATAATTTTTACTCAGTTGAACGGTTACACCCATTAGTGCCAATTTTTGCATCATAAAAAGAACAACAGCACATAAGACATATATCATATTATAAGAATACAAAATAGATGCAACACACAAAACACAAATTTTATATACCGCTAGGGGTGTTCATTGGTTCAGGAAAAGTTGAACCAAATCGGAATCCAAACCAAAACATGGTGTTTGGGTCGGACAACATTTTAGTTCGGGAAAAAGTCGAAGCAAACCAATAAAATTCGATGTTAATTGGTTTGGGCAACATATTTCCAAAATTCTACCTGCGAGTCCGTCTACTCGAACTAACTATATTAATTCATATAATTTATATCATCATTATCATATAAACTAGTATAAGATATTAAACCTCAAGAAGTAAAAAATGAAACGCCATTTGTGACATTCACAACTTATATGGAGAAACAAAAAAAAAATTAAAAGATTTATATTAATATGGAAAATTAGTTTATGTAAGTTAGATATTTTTTAAAAATATTTTTACACATTTATTTCTATTGTATCCAATCAATCCAACCCAAAGCAACCTTTTATTTTTCGGTTTGGTTCAGATTGGATTTTATGGAAAAAATGTGAAAATCCAATTCAAACCAATCCATATATTTTTGATCAGTTTGGGTATCAGATTCTCTCAAAACCGAACCAAAACGGCCCACCAATACCTCTACATACCACATAAAGATCATCCAACTCCTTCTTGCGCAATTCCCACTATTGTGCTAATATTGATTCCAACTTCTTATCATACATCTCGTCCATATCTTTCTTTTGCAATTCTTGCTCCTGTGCTAATCTTTCATCAAATATCTTATCTAGTGCTCATCCATCTCTTTCTTTTGAGATTAATGTTCTTGTGCTAACCTCTTATCAATGAGCTTGTCCGTCTTTTTTCTGCAAATATTTACTCTTTCTTGATGTACCAACGTATAATCTCAGGTCAATGCCTTGTCCAAAGCCGCATACACGTTCATTATGCTTTTTTGTTCCAATTACATCTATTAATATATCATGTCGTACATGTGGAACAATGAAACCTTGACTGGTCATATCAACCAATATTTCCTACACACAACATCAATAAGATATCAGTACCAAAGCAAATTAAGTTACACATAACAAATCCTACACACAACAAACCTTACATTTAATATTCTAATCGACAAAAGATTATTATACTTACAATCTTCTCTACGACTGCAAGTGAGGCATCTGAAGTGAACTCTACAGTTGGTCTTTGTCAGTCCCTTTTCCACTTCTCATGTCGTGATGGTGGAGATGGGTTTCGATCACAACTTATTGAGTCATGTCCCAGTTGTTGTTTTTTTTAACATTAATCATTTCTTCCTCAAGTTTCTTATAACCTCCATGAGACAATCTATGAGGATATTTCTTTATTTCCTTGTTTTCCTTTTCTAGTTGACTTTTAATCTATTATAAACATAGTGAAAATATTAATTTACACGGTTGTATATAAAGAGCATAAGCATAAAACACAATAAAGTTATTCTTCAAAAAATAAGATTACTACTAACCACGAAATCAACAAAACTATGAGACTTGACAAACTTCTCCCAAACGTGCTTCTTAATATAATTATATTTTATAGTTGGATACTAAATATCAAACTTAGGCTTCATAATATAATCACGTGTGAATTGTGACTTAAAACCCCTCAAACGCTCACCGGCGTAAGAGATCCACTTATTCTTCAACTTATCTTCATGACTAATTTCTTCAAACTCAAAAACAGACTACAATTACATTAATAAGTATGTATTAATAATTAAAACAAACTTTTGATTCATGTAAATTAATATTAATACCATAATACATGTCTATATGCTTTGTTTGAAATAAATTGCTACCTAGGTTCAATCATATATACAAAAAAACTCACTTTGCTACGTCCAAGAAACATTAAATAACTCATAAAAAGGGAAGCATTCTTACCATAACAAGTCCAAGTTTTATGATCAAACTTGATCGATAATCTAACATCCGATTT